CATGCAAAGGTTTTTGGCTGCTTGTGGGTTACGCTGCTGTCCCGAGATTTGCGTCTTCTTCACAAATTTTTTTTTGAATGTTCAATCAACCTTCCGGGGAGTCGGACGTCCTCCATAGGTCGTTCCCACGTTGTCTAAAGAATGTAAGGTGATCCCAAATAAGTTCAGTAGCGATTTTCTCATCCGGAGGGTTGGGAGACTCGACAAAATTGATCCAGCGCTCTCTTTCAGTGGTTGACTTTACTATCACCTCGCTATCCGCTCCATCTTCCTTTTGTATTTCACTGTGTAGTTTTACAGTCATGTGAAGTGCCCCGATTTTGACTAATTTATTCGAATTCAGATAGCTGAAGTTGAAGAGATGTACTTATCGGCAGCTGATCGGTTGACGTTAGAGAAGTACCGCCGCGCTCAAACAGTCTTAAATGCAGCGGAGACCGAATGCGAACGTGCGCTGTTCGCTTTTCGGCTGTTTGTTGAGTTTGCAAGACGGAAATGTTGATAGGATAGTGTTAAGATTCTTCCCATACCACCTTGTGTTCTGTATCTCCTAGTTAACTACTTTACTGCCAAGATTTGTAATCATTTTTACTGTTAGAAATGTTTGCAAATCAAATTTGTGAAGGTTTTTTCAAAAAATTTCTTTGAAAATTTTGAAATATGTCAATAGGAAAAGGTTTTTTGGATTACATTCCACAATATACTGTTTTTAGACTGAACAAAGTACAAAGTAGTAAAGTAGGAAGTAGTTGGCGTAATACGTAATCGAATTCTAACAGTACTGTTTGTGACGATCGTAAAAACGATTGAGATGTGAGCAGCAGTAATAGTAGGGAGCGTAGCGATAAACAGCATAGGAATGCGGGCATAATTGGTTGTAAATTTTTGTTTGTTTTTATCTTGTTAAAGTATTTGTTTCCTGCCTTTGTGTTCTACATATTCGCTCTAATAACACTGTTAGAACCATCTAAAATAAAACCATCTAAAATAACCATAAATCAACCATTTAAAATTCCAGAGTTTTTGATCAGGAGTAAGATGGATTTTGCCCTTTCTACTTTGTAAAGAGGAAGTAATAAAACTATCATTCATCTTCAGCCAACGACAATGATACTTTCTTTGTCTGTCTTCACATACATCACTGTATGCCTCACTGGTCGTCATATAACTCGATTTCCGCCATCGTGGTCTCTATTTGTTATCAAATCGTTCCATAAGTTTGGCACTAGAGCAATAAACACCAGATTCATTAACCAGTAGTAATTAGAATTGTACGATTTTAACATGGTTTAATTGTGCATTATCTTGCGAGCATTTTGCTATACAACTTGCTTATATTTGCTCCAAGATGTCTTGGGAACGTTCGCTCGTTGCATATACACCAATGACGCGTAGGGGGAAAAGCTAGTGAGGCGGCGCATAAGATTAATGGGGCTTCCCATGGACGTCTCGAGCGCGAGTGACCCTCCACTCTATTCTCTCCAACTTTGAACTTCACGAACCACTTTCTAGCTGTACTTTCTGCCAACGTATCATCGCCTTAAGTTCCATTAATTTTGCGCACCTCTGCTATCATTTTTACCTCGTGCATGCATGAGTGGCAAGCGATTTTGTTCCCAGTACAGCTTTATCTCAAACATAGGCAAGTTGTAACCAAAATGCTCATTTCAACAATGCCAAAATCATGCTGTTTTGATTCTGGTCAATAAATTTGATGTTTATTGCTCCAGTGCCAAAACTTATGCAACGACTTAATATTATTGCGTACAGAAGAAGTTCATTGAATTCGTCTGACTTGGGAGACCAAAGAGTAATTTACTTTTTTGTGAGGGAATCTTATCATTAGTTCGGTTCGTGCAGGTCGTCAACGCTGGGCCCTCCAAAGAAAAAATTAAAGAAAGTGGTTGATAACGGATTTTACTTTTTTACGCTAAAGAAAAAAATGACAGGAGTTTTGCGATCCGCATGGTTTTTGGTGGCTCTCCATCATATTCCATCATTTTGTAGACCGTTGACCTAATTGGGAATTTGGAAATTCATCATTTGTGTGATGCGGAATTTTCCTCGTACCATGTTCTCTGAAGCATATCCGGTACTTCAGACTGACTTCCACACGCTGTTTTGGAAGGAGGACACGGAACCCGGTGTTCTTTGCTTCTTTTTCAAACCCACGTGCTTGATGTTCCTGTAGCTCACTCAGGCTTTCGTTACACTCTGCATCGGAGGAGGGTTATGCATCATAATGCCCTCAAAGCAAAAGTGAACCCAGCTGGAAGAATATTCAGAGATAATCGTACGGTCAAAAGACAATGGTGCATAAGAAAAGAATAAATCCGTTTTATGTAATTCGCAAATTTTAACACAGCCAATTCTAATAATCTCTGATATTTTTGTCCTACCCTCGACCGTTTATATAGCCCTCGATCAAAACAGTGATAATCTGATGACATGATATGCAAACATGTTTGAGCTCGTTATGTGGTCTGATTTGGGCACTTATACAGTGCTAGACGGGCGCCTGTTTCGTCTTTCCGGTTCCTCGTACTGTCAGTAGCACAGTCTCCCCTGGTTCAATCGATCCCCTGGGGATATCGTTGGTTTGACCGAGGTCTATATAAAACGGTCGAGGGTAGAGTATGAATCATTCTGCCAGCCGTAAACATTCGACTGTGGTTCATGCAAGTTGGAGGATTTTGTCACCTGAATTGCGGTGATATATTCTTCCGGTATCAGTTCCTCTATATAGGGGTATATTCCTAGAGGATCGGGTGAACCGAGAAAGGCCGTGCTACTGAGGAGTCCAGGAGTTTGGAAGTCGAAACAGACGCCTGCCTAGCACTGTATAAGTGCCCTTATCAGACCTCATAACGGGCTCGTACACGTTATCATATTGAGTGGTATTTTTGTCATATGAGTGATTATAATGACTGATTTGATGAATGATTTGTTTACAAACTATTGTAAAAATGACCTTAAAAATGAGTCATCCTTATGGTGGTTGTTTCGAAGACCTAAAACAGTTATAGGTGGTTGGTAATCCGATATACAGTTGTCATACATCACATTACAGTTGTCTACATGTAGAGGCGAAATGTCAGGCATTGTTGTCGGAATCATCTACACACTGAATGAAGGAGGTGTTGTTCTGATGTGTTCGTGTCTGCCTAGCTGAAGTCGATTTTGTACTATACAAATCTAATTTGAGTGCGTTGTATACGGGTATGCGGTGTGTATCGACGTGGTGGTGCTGTACTATCACTGCGAAGTCCAGTTTTCTATGGAACACCAACAAGTGCACATTAGGCCATTAGTCACATCAATTTCTCCCCTCTGTATGTAAATAGAAATTTGCCAAAAGTGTTTGCACTATTCGCTTAGCACTTACGACTTGGCTTATTTTTGAAAGAATATCTTTCAATTGACTATGTCCAAAAACGTTGCATGAAAATTCAGTTGTTCTGAGAAAATGTTTAAAGCCTTTCTGAGGGTGGTAAATCGGTGACTCACATACGTCTCGGCGGTCTCGCCCGCCTCTTGAGAGCCATATGCCCTACGTCTCATCTCTAATGTAGTAGCAGCGGTGGTCGCAGATGGATCAGCCTAGATAACGTGAAATATCACATGATGTTGAGGTCTTTATTGAAAGCTAATGTTACATGCTTCGTGACAGCCGCGTAAGCCAGCCACTGAACATTAGTGAAGACCGCAACGTTAAGTGATATCTCGCTTTGCCTTCACTGATCCATCTGCGGCAGCCGCTTCGATTAGTAGGCGATTAGGGGGCGAGCCGTAGGGCATGTGGCTCTGATGAGACGGGCAAGAGCGCCGAAACGTACGTGACTATATTGAAAGAATATCATGTGGAATGTGCTTCCACGTGATTTCACGCATGAGACGTCAGTGTCAAAAGTATAGGTTCGACTCTACTTGGTGAAGAGAATGGTTTTCTTCTAGTCTGAGAACTAAATCACGTGGAATTCATTTAAATTTGACCGCCTATTGCGGTGGTATGATGTTACAATAAACCCAATAGTGTAGGTGGTGTGCAAAAAACATTTGCGTCAGCTGGGATTGGAACCCAGATTTCATCCTATCCGGAGCACGTGCTGAGTTCGGCAGTGCAACGGTTCAGCACGCGTCCGCGGATGAGGTGAAATGTGGGGTTCGAATCCCAGTTGATGCAAATGTTTTTGCGCATCACTCTACATTAAGTCACATAGTACGGAGTTATGTTGCTGGAACCGCCAATATTTCACTTTCATATGTGTAATGTTTCGAGATTTTTATTATGTCGCGATCTAGAATATCTGGCCTGAGATTTGGCAGTGAATGTCAATGCAGTAATCATGAATGAGAGAGTCGCAAACTGCTCAGATACAATAAACATACATTCGAATTGAAGTCGTATTCAGAGAAAAGTCATCGCACAGAGGAGAAAAAAAAAGAGAACAGAAGACAAAACGAATGAAAAGAACAAAATCGCAAATTATTGTGGCAAGCGTCGAGGAGCAAATGCGTGCGTACCCGAAGTACAAGAAATGAAGGCTTGTAAAAGGCGATTGATTTTGGAAGCATTAAAAAATGACAGTCGATATAAACAACCGCCAGTTGACCTTGTTGTGACGAGAGGTGATCGTAAAGAGTATTACGGATGCTTACAGTTCAGCCTAAGCTCGTCCGTAGTATGGCCAATACGCATACGGATTGTACCCCATCGTAGCGACTTGCTGATCCTTACTCGGCTGTGATTGTTTGCTCTAAGATCACTCGCTTCGCGTTCTTGTTAGCCTGTAAATAAAGCAAGATTTTTTTTTATTAAATAAGCCTACCCTTAAAACTTTCGAGGAAAGTGCAATGTTTAGTGGAGTTATTAGTAGAAGTGCCGCAATTGAGGAAATTGGCTGTCATACTCGGACTAGGCTCGATTCTGTTTTAGAAACAAAGAAGTGATAATAAATTTATGGTACACCCAATAATGCAGAGTGGTGTGCAAAAACATCTGCGTCAGCCGAGATTCGAACCCAGATCTCACTATTTCCGGGAGCGCGTGCAGAACCGTCACACTACTAACGCCTGTTTTGGTAAACACTCTTTCTACGCTACAACGCGTTTATCTGTCAACAGCCAACCGTCTACGTTCTGGTGTGAGTAGTCGCTATCGACATTGAATTCACTTATGCTACAGATATTGGGTACTGATTATCAACCAGAATTTATTAATTGACCGCCTTTTGCGGTGGCATGATGCTATAATATACCCAATCATGTAGAGTATGCGCCGGATAGGGTGAAATGTGGGTTTTGGATTTCAAATGACGCAAATGTTTTTTGCATACCCACCCTGCATTATTAAGTATACCATACATTCATGGTAAACTGAAACATCTAGTCAGAAGAATTTAGTAGATCTATGAATAATTCGTGGGATCGGCTAATCATCTTTCTCGGTGTCGATCAACTGATCTAGAATTTCTTTGGTTAACATACACAAGGTTTTTAACGGAAAGGCTTATTGAAGACAATGCACTACAATGTTGATTAAAGTTTCGGCGCTTTCTCCTTTTTTAGAGTCCGGAAAAATTCAAATTTACATGCAGTCTAGGCAGCAAACACTTTCATAAGCTCAGCAGAAAAAAGATTTAACAAAGTATAAAGTTGTCACGAAGTTTTCCTGCTGAACTCACGAAAATGTTTGACTGAGTGGATTGCAATACCCAAGACCGACTGTCTAAGAAGGCGAACTGTCGAAACGTCAGCTGTGAAATGAAATTCAATGTAACACCTCGTGTTTTACTCAAAGAAGAAAATCAGTGGATTGCATGTCAACATAATCTTTCCGCGTTCTGAAGAAGATGAAACCGGCGGAACATCAGTTAATATTGCACTGTGTTGTTCACAGTAAGCACTACTAGTAGAGACTTCATGTCTGTTCAAGAAAACACCGAGAATTTTTGTCTATAAGAAGTATTTACTCCTACAGTTATCATATTCGAAAGAATGATTCGCAAAAATTTGAAGTATTTTCACTCAGAATAATGATCATGGAATCTTATTTATATAAATGACAACTAGAATTATTTTCGCTGCTCCTGCAAAAGTTCTTGCCATTCTGGTCTACAACAATCCGTTAAAAGATCTTTTGTTAACATGAAATACTGCAATTTATCCAGACGTCAAAATCGCTGTAAAGGGCTGTATTTATGAAAAAGTCACCTAACGACATTCTACAGTTTTTAGGATGCACCGCTTTGCTCTGTAATCTCGTCATCGTCTTTACAGTTTTTCATAACACAGAAGACCATTTTATTTGTTTCAAATTTCAACATTGGAATTTGATGGATGGAGGCATGAACGTCTCATACGACTTGCGTAACCTAAGCTAGATTGAACTAAGTACGGTGATAGTGAGCGTTCAATGAGATGGTTCTAAAATTTGCCAATTGTTAACAGTTAAGGTGTATGATTTTATACTCAGTAAATTTAAGTGATAAGGAAAAACTTTGGAACTCGCCCGGGAATTTAATCAGTGAGTGTTTCAACTCTTTCGGGGTGTGTGCTAACCACGCACTACCACTCTCCTGTTCACGAAATAATTTTAAAGAAAATAGTATATTACAGATACCATGAGTATAGAGCACCACATTAAACAATGATACATAGTAATGACCGAGTGACCTCGTAGTGTAATAGGTGAAGGGCCCCCTGGAAAAGGTGAATGCGTGTTCGATTCACGTCCGAGATTCAAGGTTTTGTATATCACCTATCACTATCGAATACGTAGTCATAACATCACACCGCTCCTGAGTTGAGTAAAGGATCTTTGACGACTGTGTATGATTTGAATTGCATTAATGTTTAGGGAATTCGAGCATGGCTTATCTTTCGTCCATCTAACTACTTATGACGCCCTGTTTTCTTTTCTTCATCACTTTAATTGATATGAGCCCTTTCGAGTGTATTATGACTCGCTGTGAAGATTCGACGGAATGGCAATACTAATAGCTGATCGAGAAACTAGTATCCGAAGTAGATTCGTAATAATGGCTACTTTGTAAATCCTCTATGGAGTTGTAGCTGTATGACAACACTTAAGAAGTGTTACACCATCACGGCCTGTTATCATTACGGTGACGACCAATTTCCGTTAGCGGTTTCGCTAAGAACTGGTTCGTTTGCCAAAACACAATCACCGTCAGCCGATGGTGATAAGCTGGGCAATGCAGCCGATTATCACGTTATAGCTGCTCGTATACATTCTTCAATGAGAGAAGAGACCTAGACCATTGGAAAGACACTTCAGGAATTTCCGCACGTGTTCGGAAATTGGGTGAGGTGACCCATCCATTTCACAGCCAGGCGTGTAGAACACTGAATCCGTGAGGGCATATTTGTTTGATTCCGTAGACAATCCGTAGTAAAGTTCGGAATATTCATTTATGTTAGCTCAAATGTTTTAAGTGGAATGTAGAAAAAATCTGAAAAAACTAATTCCTTTGACACTTTCAAATGAGCAGTGAAAGTGTGAAATTGTCTTTGAATGATAGATTATTCGATCATGGAATGTTCGGGAGATGCACGTTCCACAGTCGTTACCATTTGAAAATTCTAACAAAAGTCTAAGATTATTTAACCCTTGTGGTGAATTGTAGTGCCATAAATTTTGAAATCTTTTTGAACTGGTTTTTTTTTAGATGAAAATTACAAGAGCACGCATAGGATCAGGTTCAGACTTAAGCTTGGAAGTTTGATGATACCACAATTTTCCTAGAGTCATTTTTGAATATGGTTCATTTAAGAAAGGTAATTTATTTTCAAATGCTAAAAGGTACTATGAATATTCTTGTGCCAATTTCCAGACAATCGGCGAACCTTCCGACGCGAGTCTTTCGCGACGTTGTAGTGCACAAATCGGTCTGATTTTGCCAGTAATAAGAATTCCCCCTTATATGTACTCAGAGATGGCATATCTTTGATCTATTCTATACGCATTGCTATAGTACATCAATTTACATAATTTTGGGGTATCACCGACGGTAAGAAGGTTCCCGAAAGAGATCCCTAACACTTTTCGTGCTATGGAATCCACGCGAACCCACCGTTCGTTATGAGATTGCGGTGTTCGGAAATTTCAATTAAGATCCCTGAGATCGAATGTAATGGTAGGGTGGGTGTGCAATGGTAGCGCTCGGCTCGCTATCGTATGCGGATATTTTTGTGGTAGGTTTGACCCAAATATAAGTGTCCTCTCGATGATCATCAACTGCTGTGGTGCCCCCGTCTATCGTTGTCGCCGCCACGAGACAAAGATTGACCGGTGGTGGTGGCGAACCGAGCAAATGATACGTGCTGATACGAGGATAGAAATCAGAAATATTTGATGCCGACCTTATTTCCTAGAGCGACATTTATACAGAACAATAAGAGGAATGTATAGGAGCAGATACCGAACAGGCATTCGAAACCTGCCTACAAATTGCCCATGACCAAGACAGCAAGTCACCAGTGGCCAAACTAAAAGTTAGAGGTTCAGAACGTCTACGGTGATATGAGAAGTTTTCTTATCAACTTTGCTCAAAACTTTTTCGAAACAGTTTATTTCTTGGCTTTTTACGTATGGTCTCTTATCACTCTCTTCGGAAACCTTGATTTTCTAAAAGTGACTTTAGTCTTCTCTTTGTAAGCTCAAAATTTCTTATTTTACTAAGCCTTAAACTCAGAGATGTAGGATATCGAAATATATAAATTCATGAATCGCCAAATTTTCGTTTGATAATGTCCAGAAATTTGGAGCATGAGAAGTATTCTAGTGCTTTCAAGTTTCTTTCACAGCTCGTAAATCATTTTTGAATTGAGATAATCAGTTATATCGAAGAGTCTATCTATTTGCTGGATTTATCTTCCCTCTATTTTTCCAAGATCGCAAGAAATCACTTAATTAAGGAGATTCTTCTACATTGTTGGAGGCTTCCTCAAAAATGCACTTCAAGCAATCTGACTAATCAGATAGAGTCCAAAGTAAAGCTTGTTTTGCTTACAAGCTAACTATCAAAATTATCCCTGACACAGATCAGTACTCTGTCGCATTTCGGAATACCTTCTGGCCAAAAATTTATTACTGCAGAATGGATTCCTAACATTTCTTTCCAAAAGTTATTTTTTATTGGTACTACTAGCATTTCCTTCTAAGCTGACATTAACTCGTTCCTGTAAATCGAGTATAGAAGATGCAACAAAGAAATTCTCCACTTATCTAAAAATTGTCTTATTCTGACAATGGACATAGCTGTAAGTGGTTTTAATTCAGTCATTTAGTAACTCTGATCGAAAGTCCCTAAATATTCGTTTCTCCAAGAAGATCGATGATTTTTTCAATGTCATTCTTTGACTAGTAATTTAGGGCTAGACGATTGGACGCAACACTGAATTTCTGGGCTGTATACAAGAGATGACTATCTACATAGCGGCCGACAATCGCCAGGGTTATCTCCGTCGGTCCCAAAAACGTTGACGGGTGTTGGACGCGAAATCTGGCGCTCGAGTTGTCAAGGACTTACTTACCAGCTCTACTGCAGCAACTAGCAAATCAGCACCAATCTACTTCGACCAACGATAAATTACATCACTTCGTCTCAAACTGGGGCGTAGACGAATGGGAGTGTCGCATTCCATCGCTCAGTTAATGATCCTTTAGAAATGAGCTATCACTTCGTCAAAAAGGTCGCTCCATCCGGTTGTGAATATTCGAAATTCTCCGCACTCAACAGCCACCACCACCAGCACCACGCCCAGTCGCTCTTCACCATACTGATACCATCGAATTGGCACTCAAAATGACATTGATAGACGTCGAAAAGAGCGAATAGTGAAAGAAAAAAAGAACGCTGTGAAATTCTAATGGTGGTAACCAAGGCAGTTCCGAACGATATGAGATGAACGTGGATGATTCAATTATCGAAAAACTAGTATGTTCGGGTGAAGATCCGATGAAAACTTCTGGAGACAAAACTGAAGCGTTTTTTGGCTCAGAAATGTGTTAGTTAGAGCGCCAGAAGTTTACCTAAGATCTATCAAAC